TTCAATACAATAAGAGCGTTTGGTAGTCACGAACGATCCTCACGTATGCGTCATCAGCTCTCCAAACTAATGAAAGCGTGTAAAGGCCATGCAATCCAGAAGGAGGCTTCGGCAAAGGGACGGTTTGACATCGTCGTTAGATTGTAGAACGAGGAAATACTTACTTAACGACATATAAAGGAAAAAGCCAACAAAGGAAGGATAGGCGATAAAAACATTTTTTTTTTATTTTTATTATTTTATGTGAGAGACTGGTACCAGTATTTAACATTTATAGATTTTTTGATCGCGTTGTATTTCTTTCTAAATTGGGGTTTGGGTTCGATCACGATTTTTAGCCGAATTACGATAGCCCTGTGACAAATAATATGAGACAAATAAGAAATCACGTCCCAAATAGAAAAACAGAGGTGTGACTTGGCGTGACAAATATTTTGTAAAGTCACGTGATATGACCCGGCTTTAGCCAACCGTCCCAGTAGGCAGATTTTATTTGCCGGGTCGCATAAACTTAATAAGGGTGACTTATAATAGTGGCTGGGATGTGACGCGATGTGACAAATTTGCTAATCCTCTTAACTAATCTATATTCTACCCTAATCCTAATCCTAATCCTAATAATAAATGCCCGGAAAATTAAATCTGTCTACGATTTTTTACGGGCGACGCTGTGTTCGTTCGGCTTTTAGCCATGTTAGGTTAGCCATATGAATGTAAATGTATAATTTTTCCCTTCGCTTTTCGGAATGACATTTAAAAGAGTAATTATATGATATATCTTTAGTTCGAAAACACTCTAAAACATTATAATGATATAATAATGAAATAATATTAATTTATAGTTATTATTTAATATTAATACAAATTTTAATAACTTTTATATATTTTGAACATTTACTAAAAGGAAACAACGACGATGTTCAATATATAAAACAGAATTCCTCTAATAGTTTAGGTCATAAAAGAATGCTGTTTGCCTTCAGGAGAGATTTGTCAATAATAATATTAAAAGGATTATAAGGATGAAAAGGCTATCTAAATGAAATAAATTAAAAATAATGTCGATTTATATTCGTGTAACATTTACGCGAAAAGAACAATAGGTGTCACAAAACTGTCACATTTCGATCAACAATGAGATGAGATGTTCTTTAATCAACACTTTTTTAGTCTATAATAGAGAAACTTTTTTTTTTGTTTATTAAATTTTATTTGTGAAACCGAATATTTCTCTTAGGCATAATAAATATAAAAGAAGTAATTTGCATATGTAATTATTTTACTTTTTTTTTTTAAAAAAAAAAAAAAAGACCTTAAATATATCATAAATAATAATGTAAAACTCGGAGGAAACGAGGAAAAAAAAAAAGAAGGTACATTAAAACGGAAAATAAATAAACAATAGTAAGAAAACGAAAGACGTGATTATAATAAATAATAAAAATAATCAATAACAAATAACGAGAACGTTTTAGAAATGACGAAATCAAATCATGCAAATAGCCAGCCTTGCTAAAAGTACAAAAAAAAAAGATACCAATGTTATTAACTCGACTTATTTTCTATACTCGGTAGTTGGTACACCACCAATCATCTCGAAGTTATTATTGTCCCTTTCTAGGTCAACGACTTCGCCAGCGCCTTGTTTATTATAAAAATCAAAATTAAAAAATTCATCAAACTCTTCGTATTCACTTGCGTATGGAACATCACCAACATTTAAAGAGGAATGTGTATATATAACTTCAGATATTTCAGATTGGACAAGTTGTACATTGGTATGAACAAGTTGCTCTTCATATAATTTTTCAGTTTTGATAATGGGAGTTTCGATAACAAACGCAATATTTCCATGTTGTTCAAAGGATTTTGTTGTAAGGTGGTTTGTACCGGAAGCGATCTCCTTATCTACATAATCTTTTGCGGCTGCGTGAAAATGCTTTCTTTTTTGCGAGTCATTTTTTTTCCTCCATTTTGGTGCGGTTTCTTTGGAGATTACTGTCATTTTAACATTTTTCATTCGATCGATTTCCCCTTTACGAAAATGAAAATATGCATTGGTATATCTAGGCATATTGCTACAACAACGAAAAAATATCTGAGGAATTGAGAATCTATACGTGAATAACCGGTAAACGTAAATTTTATTTAATTTTTATTCCTTTATTACTAATAGATGTTTCAAACATGAAATTTTTGAACATGAATCACTTTGAGTATTTATAATTTATCGATTTATTGTTGTAGCTACCAAAATTCAAACCTCATTATAAAAATAAAATGAAAATGGAACTCTAAAATCATTTCTAGGTCGAAAGTTATATTTTTAAAAAGCATCGCAAAAAAAAGCAAAAAGATTTTGTTTTCTCTCCTTAACCCATTTTTTCATTGAAAGTGAAATAGAAAAATCAATACTCCTTCTATACAGAAATTATTTTTCACCGGAATTTATCTCTATCTCTTTGTGTAGTTTTTGCCCGCTCATAATACATCAAAAGGCTATTGTAGTTCGATCTATTTAAAGAACCTGTTATTGACTTAATTGTGATAAATTTAACATTATTTCTAAAAATAATATATTGACCAAATTTAATTGTTTAAATTGATTTCAAACTTTCCTTGTGATTGACAGTCATTTGACATTTTTTAATAAAGTAATTTTCTAGAACAATTAAAATTGTAAATTATTTAATCAGTTAAATTTCCCGAGAAACAAGAACCCTTGGCAAAATTACCATATAAGGCCACGAAAAGTTTTTAAAATTATGCATTGTATAAAAATTAATTTTTTTTGATGATCGATCGATAAGCGTCGCGAACTGGGGTATTTTGAGATATAAAAGGTTAGATCAAAATTTTTTTTAATTTGCAGATCAACCCGGTCGAGAAAATTAATTTTTTTAAACATACTATTAATAAAATTCCGCCTTCTTATCTCCGAGCTTTTAAAATTTTATAGTAACCTGTATTTTTCACCTGATAACAAATTTATTTAGAATGTCAAGGAAGGTTATGAAACTTGATTTTTCTTTTTTAGAAAGAGTTTCAAATCGAGATCAATATTCACGTAATTTTTTTTTTATTTATAAATAGTAACTGTTGTAACACTAGTTTTGACAATTTCAAAATACTGGAGAATGCCACAATCTAAGAAAAATAGTTAGCTTATTTTAAAAATAATTCCTTTTTAAACACACTAAATAGGTAAGTTTCGCTCAAAATAGCAATGTGATGTATAATTAAAGAACGCACATTTGATTCCGGAATATGCTATTATAGGAGGTGTTGAATGTCAGACTAGACATTCAGAAATACGTAATCTCCATATTGGTTGATTCTCTTTCTTATGACAAATGACGATGAACCTTAATTCTACATAACTAGCATCATTTGGTAAACTTTGAAAGAGAACTTCAATCAAGCATTTTTGTATTGTTGTAATAAAAGGATACTTTGAAATTAAAGATTATTCTAACGTTCCATGAGTCTTGAAGGAAATAAATTTCCGAACAACGGATCAAGTTATTGAATAAATTTGGATTTTTGCAAAACCATCAATGATATTATTACCAGACATGTCAGAGAAGGGGCGAGGTTTCGGACTTCAAAAGTTTTCAACAGTTTTCAACCTTAATGAATGAATGCATAATATCCGAAATCCGTTTTTTGTAAAATAAACAAAAAGGAAAAAAGAAAAAACTATCGAAAAGGGTGGCGGAAAATTGATCCGACGAATGACCGTTTGAGAAATTTTTCAATGAATCTGGAGGATAATGTTTGTTTCGATAAATAAAATAGCAACAGATATGAATTTCGGAAAATACGTTCCGTCAAACAAATTTAAATATGAAATACCTGTTCAAGAATCATTACGCTCCTCGCCACTTTTTCTTCGAGTTTTTTTTTTTACGTGTACCATTTTCGACATCGTATTAATTTAAACATGAGCTTAATGTTTATTCCTCATGATACTGATACTCGAAGACAGACTAATAGAAAAAAGGCTCCAAATATGTTTATTTTATACCGTAAAGACATGATGCGTACGAAACCACCCATGATGACTATGACCAAGTTTAGTAAAGTGATTTCTATTAAGTGGAAAAATCTGCCTGATTATGAAAAAGCAAAATGGCAGAGAAAATCTCAATTAATTAGAGATCTAGGAGAAAATATAGATGAATCCATGTACGACAAATGTGAAGATTGCTTAAAACAACACCTTCACGTTAACTCGAGGATTCCTCAAACAGATGAGTGTCGATCCTGTATGCTCTCGAAAGGCACTAATTCCGAAACCTGTGATACTTGTTATAACGTTACGTTTAATTGTTATATCGATTTTCACACGTGATTTTCTGGTGACGTAATCAAACAATAATTTCCCCGAGTTAATTTAATTTCGATTATAAAAAAAAAAATTGACGTCGATAAGTCAAAAAAAAAAAAATAGACTTCGGTCCTTTAGAACAAACAAAAACGATTTTTAATTTAATTTTCGATAGACAAAAAAAAATTGGCTTCGGATCTTTAGAACAAACAAACGTTTTTAATTTAATTTTATCCATATATTATTTTTTTAATCCCCCTATTTTAATTTAATTTTCGAAAAATCTGAAATGAACAAACGTGTTGACCTTTTTTAATTTTTTGGTAAAATTTTATTTTTTTTCTTGATAAAAAGGTTATGGCTCACATCGAGAGCTTAGTATGCTTACCACTTTGTGGTATATTTAAGGTTAAGGATAATCATAGTTTTAGTTTATATTTTAAGCCTATCAAATGATCATTAATATGTATGCAAATATTTAAGTTTGGAAATACAAAATTTAAATAAAAAAATATATATATATATATATATATATAGAGATTAAACCTTATCGTAAAGTGATTTTATCGAGATAAGATCAAAATGGTTTTTAACCATTCCATTTGGTAGAACAATTTAAGATGCGGGTTAATTTTAAAACCATCAGTTAATTGATCAATGGTACCAAAGTTTGATGTGCATGGCATGGAATTCTAAAAGAACCTTCTTTGGAACTTCATAAACATCATATTCATATGAATTTCATTAAATCAGACTTGATATACGGATGTTCCTCGTAATCCAAACATGTCGATGATTATTTATATTATCTTTCGAATATTAATTTAATCCGAGATTACAACTTATAAATTTGAACTCAAAGTTCGTTGGTACAAACATTCATTGTCCTATCATGCAAAATCTTTTGTAAAGGAAAATCACAAACCATTAATAAAATCTTTTAAAGCATTTTTGTCATTAAAATAAAACTAACAAAATTTTATTAACCAATTTTAGATAAAATGAACCTAGAAATAAAGAAATACAATCTATATTTCGGATACATTTCATAAATACAATTTTTTATTGCGTAAAGGAGGCCATTACTTCGAAGCACAAGCTGATATTTATGTATTTCCATAAAGCAACTAACAATTACAAAATGATTCTACAAACAAAAAAATTTTATATTCGACAAATGATAGTGTTGTATTCAGTTCTTTCGTTTATGTATTTATAACCAATTTTGTAATGAAAGCAGAAGGTATTAATTGAATAAAAATGAAGCAATTATGAAGTAAAATGTACAAATATTTATTTAGTAATATCAAATGAATCAGTGTTGCCTCAACGTCGGCGATCTACACTTTCGCTATATCATTATATTAAACTAAGTAAATGCCAATCAATTAAAAACTGCGCAATTACGAATTAATAAAGTCGGAAATTAAAAAATAATAAACGAAGTTACAAATACGAAATTTAAAACGGCGAAAGCGAAAATATCGCGAAGGGATTAAAGGAAGGACTATGTATGCAGGATATAACGTGGGCGAACATGAAATGTTGAGCTGTTTAAGGATTTCCGGCTTGTATATATATATAAAAAAATAATTAGGACATCCTGGCGTCTAATTCCTACCACCTGGCCAAGATTGATCTACAAAGACCAACCACAAATATAGAAAATAATTTAGAGAACTAATTTGGTGGAATTATATTAAATGTAACAATAGTCAATTCACAGCAAAATGGTCTCTTCAACTTACTTGAACGAGAATACTTGAATAATTGTCCATTTAGATTTAATATTAATCATAAATAATTATAAATAGAATAATATTTATAAATACTGTATATATTGTTATATTATTGATAGCTTATATTTGTTCATGATCATAGTTTAATAACCTCTCTCCACCACGGCAAAGTATATTGATTATATACGGCCGTATAATTATCCCATTCAATACGATTTACGCTCAACACGTATTTCACACGACAAAATTCATTTTAAATATCCAAAGTGAAATCTTGGATTAATATCATAATCCCTTCACCTAATAATTATTTTAAAAAAAAAGAAATGTTATCGAAGGTGATACATAACAATTACCTAAGAATCAAAAAATCCAATACCTAATCGTCCTCAATAAAAAAAAATCCGGAAAATCAACTCTAGCCTCAATCTTCGTCACGCTTTTCTTGTAATCTCCAGTTGTATCTCCAAGTCATTTAAATTTAAATTCTTCGAATTAACATTCAAATTAAATATAATCTCCATTATGGAATAATAATTTTGATCTTCAGCGTCGTCCCATTCTTGATTAACAATTTTAAGCAAACGCGTTATACACAAAGACATGTAAGATAAACTTAATTTTGTTTGATAGAAACTAGTGCTGATAAATAATGAGGCATTTAACCCCACGATTATGATATTAATCATATAAATAATAAATACTATCTTGTAAATTATATTACTTGAATGCTTGATGCTGCAAAGAATCAAGATGCAGATTGTTATTTGTGCTAAAAGTGAGTAAATGATAAAAAAATATATTATTTTACAATAATTTTTATTGGCCAGGCAGTTTTCAAGATCATTAAAAGTCGGGCCAAAACCTTTCCACAAACTTAAGATCGGTGAAATTCCCAGGAGGGAAAAATAAGACACACCGAGTATTTGTCGAGAATGTTGACGCCATCTTTTCAAATAAATAAATACCCGAAATAAAATAAAGGGTGGCACAATAAGAAGAATACACCAAATA